ACCTCGTGATCCGCCCGCCTCGGCCTCCCAAAGTGCTGGGATTACAGGCATGAGCCACCGCGCCCAGCCAACAACAAAATTTTTAAGTCCCAGCCACAGCAGGACAGAGGCTGGCCCTGTCCCACCTGCTTCCCAGCCCCAGCCCTCTTACTAATCATCACCAGTGTCAGGCCTCTGAGCCCAAGCCTGCACGTATTCATCCCAGATGGCCTGAAGCAAATGAAGAATCACAAAAGAAGTGAAAATGGCCAGTTCCTGCCTTAACTGATGACATTGCCTTGTGAAATTCCTTCTCCTGGCTCATCCTGGCTCAAAAGCTCCCCCACTGAGTACCTTGTGACCCCCAACCCTGCCAGCCAGAGCGCAACCCCTTTTGACTGTAATTTTCCACTACCTATCCAAATCCTGTAAAACGGCCCCACCCCTGTCTCCCTTCGCTGACTCTCTTTTTGGACTCAGCCCGCCTGCACCCTGGTGAAATAAACAGCCTTGTTGTCACACAAAGCCTGTTTGGTGGTCTCCACACGGACTTCCACACGGGAAAACTAGGTCCTATCAAAGACTGAGGATGCCAACACTAACGGTACCCACCCGGCACCTGGTCTTGTTTCTGTGGTTCTGACTGGCCTCCTGAGGATGTGCACGTCGGGGACTTGTACCCTACATGTCACCTTTTTATGTATAGGGCCTGATTATAATGCATTTAAATGTGAAGTCTTTTTCCCAAAGTGAACATGGGTCATATGTTGCTGTATTTTCCACACATGTAAGCCTAATGCCCATGCATATGCGACTCCTTCATGACTACTCATAGCCCCTCCTGTAACCTACTGAGCACGTATACTTGGCCAACCCTTTCAGAGTAAATTCCTGTCTTACTCGTCCCTTCCTCAAAGTGCTGGCCATGCTTCCCAGGCTACAAGAAGAGCCTCTGGCTGGGCATGGTGGCTCACGCCTGTAATCCCAGCACTTTGGGAGGCCAAGGGGGGCAGATCACGAGGTCAGGAGATCGAGACCATCCTGGCTAATATGGTGAAACCCCATCTCTACTAAAAAAAAAAAAAAAAAAATACAAAAAATTAGCCGGGCATGGTGGAGGGCGCCTGTAGTCCCAGCTACTGGGGAGGCTGAGGCAGAAGAATGGCGTGAACCCGGGTGGCAGAGGTTGCAGTGAGCCGAGATTGTGCCACTACACTCCAGCCTGGGCAACAGAGAAAGACTCTGTCTCAAAAAAAGAAAAAAAGAAAGAGCCTCTGGCCAGGTTTAGTGGCTCACGCCTGTAATCCCAGCACTTTGGGAGGCCAAAGCAGACGGATCACAAGGTCAGGAGTTCAAGACCAGCCTGGCCAACATGGTGAAACCCCATCTCTAGTAAAAATACAAAAAAATTAGCTGGGCATGGTGGTGTGTGCCTGTAGTCCGAGCTACTCGGGAGGCTGAGGCAGAATTGCATGAACCAGGACCCGGGAGGTAGAGCTTGCAGTGAACCGAGATCATGCCACTGCATTCCAGTCTGGGCTACAGAGTGAGACTCCATCTCAAAAAAATAAATAAATAAACCTCCTTGCAGGCTGCAACCCTTTATGAGAAACAAGTTCTCCTTTATTAATGTTTGAACCTCAACGTTCTTCAGCTGACAGTTGCTCGAGTTCCTTGGCTTGTCCCTGTGTCATGAAATCTCTGCCTTCATGTTCACAGCACATGCTCCATGTGTATCGATGAACAAATTTCCCTTTGTAAAAACACCACTTCCAGCCTGGGTAACATGGCAAAACCCTGTCTCTACACAAAATTTAAAAATTTGGCTGGGCGCAGTGGCTCACCCCCATAATCTCAACACTTTGGGAGGCCGAGGTGGGCAGATCACTTGCGATCAGGAGTTCAAGACCAGCCTGGTCAACATGGTGAAACCCTATGTCTACTAAAAATACAAAAATTAGCTGGGCATGATGGTGCATGCCTGCAATCCCAGCTACTCCGGAGGCTGAGGCAGGAGAATTGCTTGAGCCCGGGAGGCAGAGGTTGCAGTGAGCCAAGATCACACTACTGCACTCCTGCCTGGGCCACAGAGTGAGATTCTGTCTCAAAAATAAATACATACATAAAGAATAAAAATAAAAATTTGCCCTGCATGGTGGCTCATGCCCGTGGTCCCAGCTACTTGGGAGGCTGAGGCAGGAGGATCACTTGAGCCAGAGAGCCGACTGCAGTGGTCAAGCCACCACAATCCGGCCTGGGCAAGAGTGAGACCTTGTCTCAAAACCAAAAACAAGAAGTAACCGCTTATATGGGATTAGACCCACCCTACTCCAGTATGGCCTCATTTTAACTTGAACTAATTACATCTGCAACAACTCTATTTTCTTTTTTCTCTTTCTTTTTGAGATGGGGTCTTACGCTATTGCCCAGGCTGGAGTGCAGTGACACAATCATGGCTCACTGCAGCCTCGACCCCCCCAGGCTCAAGTGATTCTCCTGCCTCAGCCTCCAGAGTAGCTGGGACTACAGGCCTCCCAAAGTGCAGAGAACTCTTTTTTAAACTTGTACACAACATACAATTGTTTGGTCTTTGTGTTCACTCAAATAGCATCTTAAGATGGGTATCATTCTGCAACTTGGTTTTTTCCACCCCAAATTCAGTGTTACAACTTAAAGCTTCATCTCATTTCGCATTTTTCTTTTTTTTTTTTTTTTTTGGAGACAGAGTCTCACTCTGTCACAGAGGTCAGCTAATTTTTGTATTTTTAGTAGACAGGGTTTCACCACGTTGGCCAGGCTGGTCTTGAACTCCTGACCTTAAGTGATCCACCCGCCTCGGCCTCCCAAAGTGCTGGGAATACAGGTGGGAGACGCCATACCCGGCCCTCACCTCATTTCTTTTCATTGCTGCGCAATATTCCATGGTATTATTCCAGTGTCCTACAGTCAAGACGTTACTGAATTCAGAGACACCCAGTTTTCTTCCCACTTCTTCCTGCTTCCTGGAAGGCTGACTCAAGCATGTTTGAGTAGATTCTGAGAAGCATAAGTGCTGAGTCATAGGTGGTGTGCAGATTTATGAAACTGATAGTGCCTAGTGCCCGCCGCAGTTTGTTTACCTTCACCCATCCCTGTGAATGAACCATGTCTAGGTTCAAGCATGGATGCCCTTGGTATGTGGGTGCAAGCCAAACGTGGACTGCTGCCCCTTCCAGCCCTGGCAGGGAGGCCCAGCGAGCACAGCTTTGGGACAGGTTCACTTCATGTAGAAAGAGAAGCTGCCTGAAGTCACAAATGACGTAGATTGGAGGGCAGGGGTGAACAGTTCTCTTGTGGATGAGAGAGGGCCAGGCATGGTGGCTCACACCTTAATTCCAGCACTTTAGGTTGAAGCCAGAGTATCGCTTGAGCCCAGGAGTTTGAGACCAGCCTGGGAAACAAAGTGAGACCCCGTCTCTATAAAAAAAATTAATAAATTAGCCTGGCGTGGTGGCATGTGTCTGTGGTCCCAGCCACACCCAGAGGTTGAGGCAAGAGGATTGCTTGAGCCCAGGAGCTGAAGACCAGCCTGGGGAACACAGTGAGAAGAAAGGGAGGGAGGGAGGAAGAAAGGGAGAAAGGGAAGAAAAAAAGGAAAGGAAGGAAGAAAGAGAAGAGGGAGAAAGGGAAGAAAAAAGGAAAGGAAGGAAGAAAGAGAAGTAAAAGAAGGAAAGAAAGAAGGAAGAAAAGGAAGGGAGCAAGAGAGGAAAGGAAAGAAAGAGGAAGGAAGGGAGGGAGGGAGGAAGAAAGGGAGAAAGGGAAGAAAAAGGAAAGTGAAGGAAGAAAGAGTAGCAAAAGAAGAAGAAAGAAGGAAGAAAAGGAAGGGAGCAAGAGAGGAAAGGAAAGAAGGAAAGAAAGAGGAAGGAAGGGAGGGAGGGAGGGAGAGAGGGAAAGGAAAGAAGGAAAGAAAGGAAAGGAAGGAAAGGAAGGAAGGAAAATGGGAGGCGAGGCACCTGGAAGAGTCATGCGGATGAACACACTCCAGTGTCCGCTCCAATGTCCAGTGGGGAGCCCCGCAGCCAGCAGCCCTGGTTACAGAGGCTCTCTCCTTGCTGTGCTGACACTGGCCGGGACTGCCTGGGCAGAACGAGGCTCAGCAGGGCAGGCCATATTCTTCTTGAAGAAAGTGCAGGGAGAACACACCTCTGAGGCTGCCACAGGCCTCCAGGGATTTATCCCCAGACTCAATCAAAGCATTCATAAAAATACAAACATGCGGCCGGGCGCGGTGGCTCAAGCCTGTAATCCCAGCACTTTGGGAGGCCGAGACGGGCGGATCACGAGGTCAGGAGATCGAGACCATCCTGGCTAACACGGCGAAACCCCGTCTCTACTAAAAAATACAAAAAACTAGCCGGGCGCGGTGGCGGGCGCCTGTAGTCCCAGCTACTCTGGAGGCTGAGGCAGGAGAATGGCGTGAACCCGGGAGGCGGAGCTTGCAGTGAGCTGAGATCCGGCCACTGCACTCCAGCCTGGGAACAGAGCAAGACTCCGTCTCAAAAAAAAAAAAAAAAAAAAAAAAAATACAAACATGCAGGCGGTCCTCATCTGCTCAGGCTGCCGTGACAGATCACCCCCGCCTGCGGGGCTTAACACAGAGATTCATTTTCTCCTGGTTCTGGAGGCTGCGGTCCCCATGAGGCCTTTCTTCCTGGCAGGCGCGTGGCCTGGTCCTTGCTGTGTCCTCTCATGGTATTTCCTGGGATGTCAGGGTGCAGAGAACCACCAGCTCTCTGGCATCTCTTCTCATAAGGACACTAAAGCTATCAGTTCAGGGCCCACCTTTATGACCTTCATTAAACCCTAGTTACCCCTAAAAGCCCTATTTCCAAACGCAGTCACATAGAGGGCGAAGCCTTCAACTTAAGGGTCTTAAGGGAGCACGATCCTGTCTCTAACCCAAGCACACGTTGAACAGCGGGCTCAGTAAGTCCATTATGATGCATATATAGACCAAAATACCAGGCAGACATTAAAAACCATGTGTTCTAATGCTATTTATTATCACAATAAATAACTCACTGCAAACGACTGCATGAAAAAAGGGGGTTCCAGAGCACAATGTATAGAATGATCCCATTTATGTAAACTGTAAACATACATCACGTGCTGACGGACAGGCACGTTTGGGGAGGGGTCTGGAGTGATCACCCAAGTGGATGGGGTTGGGGGGTGGTTTCCTGTATTTTTTACAATAAGCATTTATGACTTTTACAAAATCACCGAAGCTATCACTTTCTCCGTTTACAAAACAGAATTATTTTTACATAGAGACTTGACGTCATTTGGCACACCTTGGTTTTCTCCTGGAGAGCACAGACGCCGCAAACGGCGGATCCGCCTCCCAGACTCCCGCCTGCCCCGTCCCTCCCCTGCAGGTGGCACTGGTGAGCCAGGAAGGTGCTGCGGGCCCCAGGACGCCTCGCACAGCCCAGGCCGGAAACCCCTGGCCCTGCTTCCTCGCACAGTCTGTCATTCTAGAAGACTCTCTCCAAACCCCTCTTCCAAAGAGGGTCATGCCAGGGAACAGCAGCGAGGTCATTTTCCAGTCATCCGGCAGGAAGCCACTGAGCCGACCCCGCCCCCGCCGTAGACCTCCAGGCCTGGCTTCCTTCTCCTCCCCAGGTTACCTGCTCAGGGCCAGCATGTCTATCAGGCGGCATCCAGCATCCAAGCACAGTGACAAGAACCTTCCGGAACACCCTGCAAACTGTGGATGCCCATGGGTGGCCCCATTACGCCTTGAGCAGGGCGACCTTGTGGTCCGGAACAGCGTCTTCTCTGATGTTGTAGGGCTGGGCCCCTGGCTCCTGCCTCAGGTGTTTCTCTGCAGAAAATACAAGCAATTTTTCAAGCACTGAAAGCTCAGAAGTGAGGATGGGTCAGTTCACGGGAAGGGATTAACAGGGGCCTTTCAGGGTTCTAGAAGGTGTGCAGGAAGGAGCTATGGGCCACCCAGGCCAGTGTCACTAACTCCCTGGGGGTCTCAGCGGAGTCTCTGTAAGCATATTTTTCAGGTGACTAACGGCCCTTTCTTACTGCTCAGGGTACCCTCCCATCCCACGGCCAGGTCACAGGCTGCTTATCCGCCTCCAGTGCACTGCATCTGAGCTGCTTCCTTCTAGCAATAACATGGGTGAATCTCCCTGGCATCACATTGAGCCAACGAAGCTGGTACAACATCCGCCCCCCTCACTCTCACGGAGCTGACCCTGCTTCAGCTGTGGCCTCAGTGGAAGAGGAAGAGGCCCGGCACTGGGGCCTGGGACCCTCTGGCCCCTGCTGTGTGGCCTGGGGTGGACGCTCTGCATCGCTGGCCCATCCTCTTGTTGACACCTGCTGCAGCTCAGACCTCCTGTGATTGCTGTCTCAGGGCTCAGCGCCCAGCCTGCTCCTGTCCCTCCCGTCCCTCCTGTCCCAGGGCTTCGGGATCTCCCCGGCCCAGCTCTGTCCTGGTCCTGATCCCTCGGGGTGTGGACTTCGGCTGGAAGGACATTCTTCCAACCTTCTGCAGGAAAAATGTGGGTTCCAGAGCACCAGGTGTGAAATGATCCCATTTATGTAAAACCACAAACATATCCACACACTGACAGGCAGGCACATATGCACGTTTAGGGGAGGGGTCTGGAGTGATCACCAAAGTGGACTGGGGTGGAGGTGGTTTCCTGTTTTTGTTTTTGTGTGTTTTTGAGACAGAGTCTTGCTCTCTCACCCAGGCTGGAGTGCAGCGGCACAATCTCGGCTCACTGCAACCTCTGCCTCCTGGGTTCAAGCAATTCTCTTGCTTCAGCCGCCCGAATAGCTGGGACTACAGGTGCCCACCACCACACTCAGCTAATATTTGTATTTTTAGTACTGATGGGGTTTTACCATGTTGGCCAGGCTGGTCTCAAATTTCTGACCTCAGGTGATCTGCCCACCTCGGCCTCCCAAAGTGCTGGGATGACAGGCATGAGCCACTGTGCCCAGCTGGTTTCCTATAGTTTTTACAATAAGCATTTACGATTTTTATAAAATCACCAAAGTCGCAGGATGTCTGACTGTGCCCACCTGCTTCTTCCAGGGTGGAGAAGTACTGGAACCCCTTCAGGTCAGCGGACAGCAGGACACGGAGAACAGGGACCTGAAGGACAGACAGACTTTAGCCAGGGCAGGATGTCCCTCTCTAGCACACGGGCAGGCAGCCTGGTGGACACGCAATCTCAGAGTCTCCCGGAGAGGTACAGCTTTACCTTCACACCGGCGAACGGTGAGAAGAAGCACAGCCCCAGGGGAATGCTGTCAGAGGAGGATTTTTTTTTTTTTTTAATTTTTTTGTTTTTTTGAGACAGGGTCTTGCTCATTGCTCAGGTTGGAATGCAGTGGCACGATCATGGCTCACTGCAGCCTCAACCTCCCAGACTGAAGTGATCCTCCCACCTCAGCCTCCTGAGTAGCTACAGGTGCACGCCACCACGTCCAGCTAATTTTTCCTATTTTTTTGATGGGGTTTCATCATGTTGCCCAGGCTGGTCTCAAACTCCCGGCCTCAAGTGATTCTCCTGCCTCGGCCTCCCAAAGTGCTGGGATTACAGATGTAATCCTGTAATCCGCCTGGCCCAGAGGAGTTTTGTTTTGTTTTGTTTTTTGTTTTTGTTTTGTTTTGTTTCTGAGATGGAGTTTTGCTCTTGTTACCCAGGCTGGAGTGCAATGGCGAGATCTCAGCTCACTGCAACCTCCGCCTCCCAGGTTCAAGCAATTCTCCTGCTTCAGCCTCCCGAGTAGCTGGGATTACAGGCATGTGCCACCACGCCCATCTAATTTTTGTAGTTTTAGTAGGGATAGAGTTTCACTATGTTGGCCAGGCTGGTCTCAAACCCTGACCTCCCACCTTGGCCTCTCAAAGTGCTGGGATTACAGGCATGAGCCACCGTGTCTGGGCCAGAGGAGTATTTTTTTAAGTGAATCATCTCCAAAGACCATGAAGACATGTGCTCTGCAAATACGACACAGGATGTAACACTTATGAGCAAAGCTCTGAAGGCACATGACCAAATCTGAAGCCCAGTCCACCATCCTGTGTGACCGTGGGCAGGTTACCTGGCTTCTCTGGGCCTCAATGACCTCTTCTGGACACGGGGATGAAGACAACCCTAGCCGGCTGGGTGCAGTAGCTCACGCCTGTAATCCCAGCACTTTGGGAGGCCAAGGCGGGCGGATCACAAGGTCAGGAGATCAAGACCATCCTGGCTAACAAGGTGAAAGCCCATCTCTACTAAAAAATACAAAAAATTAGCCGGGAGTGGTGGTGGGCGCCTGTAGTCCCAGCTACTCGGGAGGCTGAGGCAGGAGAATGGCGTGAACCCAGGAGGCGGAGCTTGCAGTGAGCTGAGATCACGCCACTGTACTTCCAGCCTGGGCGACAGAGCGAGACTCCGTCTCAAAAAAAATAAAAGATAGCACTAGCCTCGGGGGCCAGGTTGGGGATGAATAAAACCCTGACAAGTACCAGCTGTGGCCCACACAGGAGGTATAGGGTTCAGTCACCTCCTGTTTCATGGCTAGTTCATGAATGTCTCCTCTCAGTGCTTGGGGACACGCCCTAGTCCCCCATGTTCTGCCATCTAGGACTTGGCAGGGAGCACACATTTAATCACAGCAACAGAGACCCCTGCCTCTCTGCAAACACCGGCCACACTCCTGCGATGTCGACCCTGCAGCGCTCGGAAGGCTCCCAGGTGAGGCCTAAGATGCAGGGCCCGGGACCCGGCCCTTCCATTTTACTTGCAGCTCTGAACAGGACGGCCTCCATAGAAACCTGTCTTCTTCAGCCTCTGGAAGCCCTGACAATACGTTTTTCACGAAATTCTATGTGCACCTGTTTTTGTTTTGTTCTGAGATGGAGTCTCACTCTGTCGCCCAGGCTGGAGTACAGTAGTGGGATCTCAGCTCACTGCTACCTCCACCTCCTGGGTTCAAGCAATTCTCCCAGCCTCCCGTGTAGCTGGAATTATAAGTGCTCACCACCACACCTGGCTAGTTTTGTTTTTGTTTTTGTTGGGTTTTTTTATTTTTTATTTTTTAGTAGAGATGGGGTTTCACCATGTTGGCCAGGCTGATCTTGAACTCCTGACCTCAGGTGATCTGCCCGCCTTGGCCTCCCAAAGTGCTGGATTCCAGGCGTGAGCCACCACACCTGGCCTCACCTGTCTCTTTTTGTTTCCTAAAATACAATTCCCCTGAGAGCAGGGACTGACCCTCATTCACTGTGTGTCCCCAGCACTGAGGACAGTGTGGCAGTGACCACCAGGGAAATGACGCCATAACGTGACCCCTCAGAGGGCTTGGGGCCACTGCTCCCCATTCCACAGGGAGGGACAAGGAAGGCCAGATGGGAATGAGAACTGTTGAAATCAGAGGCAGAGCCAGCACTGGCCGAAGGGCCGTCCAGTATCACAGCCCAGAGATGTCACATTCACCACGGGAGGCACGCACAGGAAGGACCTGAGGCAGCTGCTAACCCCTAAGGCAGCCCAGCGCACACCCACCTGCAGGCCCACGAAGGCCAGGGCGACGCCCTGCTTCTGGAAGTCCTGGAGGAGCTCGCCAAGCCCCAGCACCACGGTGTAGTCGATGCTGCAGATATGGGTGCACTCCAGGACCAGGCAGCGTGGCGGGGAGACTGGGGAGACAGGTCCGAGCCAGGTCATGCCACGCAGAGCGGCCCAAAGCCGCTCCGCAGAGGCCAAAGGAGGCTCTGACCAGGGGCAGGGGACAGAGAGGCCAGAGTGCTCCATCTCGTAGGGACTGAGTCACCCAGTTGGGGGATTCGGGTGGCAGGACCAGAGACACAACTGTTTGATGACAGCAGCAGCTGTTTCCCTCCTAGGACTCACAGGCCCTTGGCTCCCCTAAAATCAACCCCCCAGAAACAGGAAGGGGACTTTAGGGGCAGGGAAGGAGCGGTATGTGGGGAGCCACCGCCCTTGCTGCAGCAGTCACTGGCTGAGGCCCACAGGGGACAGTCCTGCCCACTCGGAGACGCCTGAACCCCTGTGGACTGGAGAGTGTCCGGGACAGGGCCTTGGGGTCCTGAACAGCTGGGAGTGGAGGGCAGAGGACAGGGGAACGACCTCAGACCACCTTGGCCCCCGCCCATGCACCTTCCAGGGCCCGGCTTAGGATCTCCTCCCGCAGAGCCTCCATGGCGGGGAACGACAGGCCGCTGGCCGGCTGCAGGACCAGAACCGGCCCCTCTGACACCTGCAGGGAGGAGTGAGTCCTGGAGACTGGGCAGCCTCCACCAGGCTAGGCCTGTCCCAAGCAGGAAGCCCCCACCCAACCTAGCACGCTGGAGGGAACTGGGAGTGGGGTGCTAAGGGGAGACCCCCACGGCCCCCACACAGTGGGAGAACACCATGGTTTATAGCAGGGTGGTTGCCCGCCTGCCAGCAAGCAGTCCCCTTCAGCAGCGCCCACGACCACCATCACCCCAGACCCTCAACACGTAAGACCGTGCCCAGGAGTCCTGCCCCCAGCGTCCTCCCCACTCAGAGGCCACGGCAGGGTACCTTGGTCTTGGGCCTGGCTGTGGAGTGCAGGAGCATGAGCAGAGACACCAGAGCCCCGGCCAGGATGCCGTACTGCACCTCCCAGAAGCACAGCAGGAAGGTCACGCACAGGGGCAGCAGGTCCAGCCCTAGGAGAAGGGTGCTGCTGAGGGACGCCTGGCAGCCGCCCAAACCCCCAACATGGCCCTGCTGACTAGTGTGAGCTTTCTGCCCCCCACATGCTCATGGACCCAAAGCAGCCCCCGAGGGGACTCCTGAGGACTTGGGGACAGCAGCTGCTGACCAGGCCAGGCTTCAAGTCGAAGGAAGGAAATGCCCGCCTCATCCGAGCTGAGCGCAGCTGAGACCTGCCCGCTCGGTCCCTCCTCATCCGAGCTGAGCACAGCTGAGACCTGCCCGCTCGGTCTCTGGCCTCCCACCTCAGGGAGGGAAGTGGCAGCGGCTTGTCAGGGCACAGATCTGGCCTGAGGAGTGGGGCAGGGACCACGTGAACTCTTGAGACCTGGCCAAGAAGGTGCCCTGGGGACAAAGTGCATGGGCTCAGGCCTGGCGGGGATTCCACCTCACGTAGGTCAGGCCCGCCCCACCCTGGCTAAGCCTCGGATTCTAGCGGTAGCGACCATCCCATTCCACGTGGGCATATTAACATGTTTCAGGGCTGTTCTAAAGCCCCAGCACACTGGCAGGTGACAGGCCCTGGCACGCGACAGGCATGCAAGAAAATTTTCCATCCTTTCACCTGGCAACTTGCTGGGGCTGACCAGAAAATGCCAAGTCAGCTAGGTGAACCCACTCCGTGCTTCCTCCACAAACAAAAGAAAACAACATGTGTTAAGTTAAAGGAACTGGCAGTCAGGGCCCGAGTGCAAGGCTGTTCCACTGCCCCTGCTGGTCACCAGGCACGTCTCCTGTCCCTCCCCCAGCTGGGTCGGGCAGAGTGGTGGCTAGAGGCAGCAGGGAGGGTGGGAATGAGGGCAGGGGGATCAGGAGGGGACCCTCCCCCGGGTCAGTGCTCCCCTCAGGACCCCAGGTGTCAGGACAAGGAGCTCCAGCTCTTGCTACTGAGCCTCTGGACCATCTCTGGGGCCATCTCCTGGCCATCCACTCCTCTGTTCTGGGACTGCCCTAACTTCCCAGCCCCAGCCCCGCAGCGGTGGCTGCAGGAAAACGGTGTAGCACAAATGACATTCTCCGCGTTCAGACACTGCATCACAGCACTCTCCCCGTAGGACAAGAACGTACTCTTAACGCGCCAGAGCGTCCTGAAGATCTTGGTGTCGAACAGCGGGGCCACGGCCATGATGATGACGGCGGCCAGGGCGGACTTGGGGATGTAGTAGAAGAGTGAGGTCAGGTAGTCCAGGGACAGCAGCACCAGCACTCCTGTGGGGCGCGGGAACACGGGTGACCTCGGGGGCGCAGGGTCCCCCCAGCACGCGGCATAGCAGCCTCCTGTTCAGCGGAGCCCACTGGGGACGGGGCAGGGGTAGGGCGACGAGTGCCAAGGCCCCCAGCCCCTGCTCAGTCGCCTGCGGTCCCCCCACTCCTCTGTGGCCCCCCAGGTCCCTGTACAGTCCCGGGGCACACGGCCCAGGAGCCAAGGGACGTCTCTTGGGCCCCCTCCTCCCTTTCTCCCACTCTCAGGGCTGGGGGCACAAGGGGAAGATGGAGGGCCTCACCCGTCACCAGGCCCCCCGCCGGGGTGCACACCCCCGACTGAGAGTTCACGGCTGTCCTGGAAGGCAACACAGAGACCGTCAGTCACCAGAGGCCGGGAAAGGGGAGACCTCAGCCCACACCCTGTGGCTGTTCTTCCGAGGGGACGTCAGCTCCCAGCACGACTTAGGAAGCAGGCGGGGACTGCAAGAGGGGCAAGGCAAAGAGACTTAGGGTGCAGTCACAGAGCGCTGTGCTCAGGCCACCCTAACTATAGGAAGCAGTTCAGGAAGCACACGTCCTTTCGGGTTCCTGCCCCCGTCCAGGTGGGGGCCCCACACCCTGCGGGGCAAGCGTCAGCAGCTGGGGCACTGGGCACTGCCAAGCGGTGCCTCCTTCTCTCCTTTAAGCCACAGATCACCCCCATCCTGTTGTCCTGACTGAGGAGGGGCCCTAGGGCGTCTGGGCTAAGCCTCACGCCTGGCTTCTGCAGGGCAGAGCTGCAGCCCTTCCTGTCTCCACGCCCTTTTAGGAATTGACTCTGGCACCAGGAGCTAGAAGGGCTTTGGCGTGCTGGGAACTTTCCAGTATTTGTTTTAGAGATGGAGTCTTGCTCTGTAGCCCAGGCTGGAGTGCAGCGGTGCAGTCACAACTCACTGCAGCCTCAACCTGCTGGGCTGAAGCGACTCTCCCACTTCCGCCTCCAGAGTAAATGGGATAACAAGGGTATACCACAATGCCCAGTGGAAGCTTCTAGTATTAAACTGCAGGACCATCTATGAGAGTAAAGAAACAGAGGACACCCTGGAGGACAGCGGGGTGACCCCCAGCCCTGCCCCTCCACGGAGAGTTCACAGCAGAGGACGGGGCGCCAGGGTCAGGGCAGGCAGACTCCTCGTCAGGATAACAACATAAAGGCAACGTGGGCAAACAGAAGTGGAAGACAGGTCACTCACCGTCCAAAGCTGCCTGTGACTGGGTAGGCGGAGACGAAGGAGCCCAACACATTGGTGAGACCTGGGGAGGAGGCAAGACAGGCTGATCGGGGAGGGTAGGCACACAGGACGGAGGGAAAGCAGATGTGGAGGGGATAAAAACCCAGAAGGGAGGCGGGAAGGCAGGGCTCGGGAGAATGATCCTGGGGGCCTGAGCCTGTGCACTCTTTCAGGGAAGAAAACAGGCCACACTCTTGCAGATGTAGAGCCTAGCAATTTTTTTTTCCTTTTTGAGACAGAGTCTGGCTCTGTTGCCCAAGCCGGAGTGCAGTAGCACGATCTCAGTTCACTGCAGCCTCCGCCTCCCAGTTCAAGCGATTCTCCTGCCTCAGCTTCCCGAGTAGCTGGGATTACAGGCACGTATCACCACGCCCGGCTTATTTTTGTATTTTTAGTAGAGACAGAGTTTTGCCATGTTGGCCAGGTTGATCTCAAACTCCTGACCTCAGTGATCCACCTGCTTCGGCCTCCCAAAGTGCTGGGACTACAGACATGTGCCACCACACCTGGCTAATTTTTGTATTTTTAGTAGAGACGGGGTTTCACCATGTTGGTCAGGCTGATCTCAAACTCCTGACCTCAGGTGATCCACCTGCCTTGGCCTCCCAAAGTGCTGGGATTACAGGCATGAGCCACCACACCCAGGTAACTGTATTTTTAGTAGAGACAGGGTTTTGCCATGTTGGCCAGGCTGGTCTCAAACGCCTGACCTCAGGTGATAAATCCACCTCAGTCTCCCAAAGTGCTGGGATTACAGGTGTGAGCCACCACGCCCAGCCAGATCCTAGCTTTCAAACACTTCTCACCCAGCCTCTCCTGTGTGACTAGGACATGCCTTCCCCAAGCAGAACAGAGGGGAGCATCTTACCGCCCAGGAGGGGGTGACAGCTGAGACGAAAGTGCCCGTAAGACAAACCCTACGTGCTCAGGAGGTCAGTGGCTGCCCACAGTTCTCCACCCAGTTCCTTTCAAACCCAGCACTCCTTCTCACGAGACGACAGCCACAGTGAGGCCGAGGTCATGGCTGGTAAGCTGCCTTCCCAGGTGATGCTGGCTGCCGACAACAGACAAAGCCCACGCCTGCAGCATCGCTGAGGCCCAAGAACGGGGATCACTGCTCAGGTTGACCCCACGCTCCCACCACCAGCATCTGTCTCACCTGGAGGCACCACTAAAACCAGAATCCCTCCTGCTCGCTAAGACCCACAGTGGGTTCTCAGGTCTCAAAGGTGCAGGGCCTGCTCTCAAGGTAGCTTGGGCTGGGGCCAACTCAGTATCAGGGCATCCCGGGTGACATGGCCCAGCTCACAGCCCTGAGAGAGAGGGGATAGGGCAAGGAAATGCAGGCGTGGGAGGTCTCAGCAGAGGCCTGCGGTGACCGCAGGTTGCACGGGATCATCCTCACTCTGCAACAGGTTGGGCTGGGGACCCAACTCTGTGAGCCAAAGCTGACCAGGGCGACCCCTCCCAGCTTGGCCTTTATGGGCTCACATCAGCCAGCTTCTTGCTGTGCGGCTGCTGAAGCCTACCTGGCCTATCTGAGATCAAGGAATCCCATGGCTGTCACAGTAACCTTGACCTTCACTCTGTCTGCGTTGTATCCCTGGAACTCAACGTGCCATCAGAATAGTTCTGTGGTATTTTTAAAGTAATGGGAATAGGGCCAGGGGCTGTGACTCAGGCCTGTAATCCTAGCAATTTGGGAGTCCAAAGCGGGCAGATCACCAGAGGTCAGCAGCTTGAGACCAGCCTGGCCAACATGGCGAAACCCCGTCCTACTAAAAATACAAAAATCAGTCGGGCTTGGGGGCAGGTGCCTGTAATTCCAGCTACTCAGGAGGGTGAGGCAGGAGAACTGCTTGAACCCAGGAGACGGAGGTTGCAGAAAGCCGAGACCATGCCACTGCACTACAGCCTGGGCGACACAGCAAGACTCCGTCTCAAATAACAATTATAATAAGTAAAGTAATGGGAATGGGATGCTCTGGGAAATCACGTTTGGAAGATTTACTGGGAGGTTTCGGGGAGGCCGTGGATTTTCTCGGCCTGAGAGTGTGTGAGTCCTAGGAAGCCCGAGATCCGCCACTCAACTAGACAATGCCCCGCTCTCCATGGCTCAGAGAGGAGCCCGGGCAACGTCCCTTTGTGACCCAACCTGGGTCACTCACTTTGCTGTCAAGAAGCCAAATGGCTCTCATGAAATTGTCAGGGTGGACACCTGTTGGGAAGAAGCCCATGGTGCTTCCTGGGTTACCCTGCGCCAGTCTCATGAGGGGCAAGAAGGAAAGGCAGGAAGGCCTGGGACCCACGATTCAGTCACAATAACTGAATTTAAGATTCACACTGGGCCGGGTGTGGTGGCGGGTGCCTGTAATCCCAGCACTTTGGGAGGCTGAGGCGGGCGGATCACGACGTCAGGAGTTCGAGACCAGCCTGACCAATATGGTGAAACCCCAGCCCTACTAAAAATACAAAAAGTAGCCAGGCATGGTGGCACGTGCCTGTAGTCTCAGCTACTCAGGCGGCTGAGGCGGGAGAATCAGATGAACCCAGAAGGCAGAGGTTGCAGTGAGCTGAGATTGCACCACTGCCCTCTAGCCTGGGCGACAAAGCAAGATTCAGTCCCACACACAAAAATATATATATATATTCACACTGTGGTCTCAAAATATACCACTAAGAAGTCAGCCTGCAGAGATATAACAAGAGGAAACTAAACGATGAAAGCGGGCATGACCCCCATCCACAGGCAGGCAACTTGGGGCCCCTGAGTCTTCGTGAATCCACCTGCCCCTGCCTGGAGGGAGGCACAGGGCAGGGTGCGGGCACAATCAGAAGACGCCTCTGGACTACCCCGGCCACAGCTTCAGCTCTCGACCCCGTCCCTGGGCGCTCCCTCCTTGAGGTGGGACATTCCAGGTGTTCCTGGATCTAGACCAAGGCTACAGACCTCAGGGTCGGGTACACAGCACAGGTGCTCAGCAAGAGGTAGGACAGATAACAGATGTCAGCTCCTTATTCTTAGGGGTTAAACTGAGCAGTGTGGAGGTCTGGGAATGAGTTCTTATTAATATTCCAGAAGAGCCAGGCGTGGTAGCTTATGCCTGTAACCTCAGCACTTTGGGAGGCCGAGGCAGGCAGATCACCTGAGGTCAGGAGTTCGAGACCAGCCTGGCCAACATGGTAAAACCCCGTCTCTACTAAAAATACAAAAATTAGCCAGGCGTGGTGACATACGCCTGTAATCCCAGCTACTCAGGAGGCTGAGGCAGGAGAATCACTTGAATCTGGGAGGTGGAGGTTGTAGTGAGCCGAGATCGCGCCACTGCACTCCTGCCTGGGCAACAGAGCGAGACTCCGTCTCAAAAACCCAAAACAAAACAAAATATTCCAGAAGAGCCCATCTGGGGCCACCTCTGCCCTCCCAATTCATCACCACCATCACGGTCTTCCTACGATGCAAGAGACACAGAGGGGCAGGCCTGGGTCCCTGGAGGCCCACAGGGGTTCTTCCCCACAGCTGGGGTCTTACCAATGGCCAGCAGCTCCTGGTTGGCATCAATGCGGTAATTATTCTGAGACGCTAAAGGGAACCAACAGTAAAGACATGGTCACTGATATTCAACATCACTCATAAAGTATTCACAAAATGTAAAACAGACTATGAATTTCTACGTATGGCAATAAGTTTTGTAAATATAACTATACGAATACACATCTAAAATATTCACATATATGCGCATGTAAACATGTGCTTGAATGTATCACAGAGTGCAAAGAGGTACAGTACCATGTAATCAGGCCAGGTACGGTGGCTCACAGCTGTAATAGCAGCACTTTGGGAGGCCAAGACAGGAGGATTGCTCGAGCCCAGGAGTTCGAGACCAGCCTGGGCAACATGGCAAAACCCCATCTCTACAAAAAAATACAAAAATTAGCCAGGCATGGTGGTGTGTGCCTATAGTCCCAGATATTCAGGACGCTGCAGTGGGAGGATCGTTTGAGACTAGGAGGTTGAGGCTGCAGTGAGATGAGATCGTGCCACTGCACTCCAGTCCGGGCGACAGAGACCCTGTCTCAAACAACAAAAAGAAACCATGTAAACAGTAGTTAATTGTGGTAGTAAAACAGATTACGGGTGATTTGTCTCTTCTTTACTCATTTCTGCACTTTTGACATTTTCTACAATGACTGTATATTAATAAACATAGCCATTATTAACAATTATATTAAAACTTTCAATTAAACAGATAATACAGGATCTTGTTCTGCAGCCCAGGCTGGAGTGCAGTGGCACTATCACAGCTCAATGCCACCTCGACCTCCTGGGCTCAAGTGATCCTCCTGCCTTAGGATCCCGAGCAGCTGGTACCACAGGTGTGCTCCAGGCCCGGCTAATTTTATTTTTAATAGAAATGAGGTCTCATTATGTTGCCTAGGTGGGTTTCAAACTCCTGAGCTCAAGCGATCCTCCTGCCTAGGCCTCCCAAAGTGTTGGGATTACAACACTTTTTATAATAAGAAAAACATTTTATTTTATTATTATTTTTTTTTTAGATGGAGTCTTGCTCTGTCACCCAGGCTGGAGTGCAGTGGAGTGATCTTGGCTCTCCGTAACCTCTGCCTCCCAGGTTCAAGAGATACTCCTGCCTTAGCTTCCTGAGTAGCTGGGACTACAGGTGCACGCCACCACGCCTGGCTACTTTTTGCATTTTTAATAGAAATCGGGTTTTGCCATGTTGGTCAGGCTTGTATCAAACTCCTGACCTCAGGTGATCCGCCCACCTCGGCCTCCCAAAGTGCTGGGATTACAGATGTGAGCCACCGCGCCCAACGAGAAAAACATTTTAAACCGTAAACCTCTCTGATGACCAGTTGAGATGACTGGAAAGTCTAAGATGGGCCATCTCAGAGAGGTGAGCAGGCCAAGATTTGAGGGGAAGGCACAGGAGCATGGATCTAAGACAGAGGTTGGCAAACTTTTCTTTTCTTTCTCTTTTTTTTTTTTGAGACAGAGTCTCGCTCTGTCGCCCAGGCTGGAGTGCAGTGGCATGATCTCGGCTCACTGCAAGCTCCGCCTCCCGGGTTCACGCCATTCTGCTGCCTCAGCCTCCAGAGTAGCTGGGACTACAGGCGCCCACCACCATGCCCAGCTAATTTTTTTGTATTTTTAGTAGAGACGGGGTTTCACCATGTTAGTCAGGATGGTCTTGATCTCCTGACCTCATGATCCGCCCTGCTCAGCCTCCCAAAGTGCTAGGATTACAGGTGTGAGCCACCGCACCCGGTCAAAACTTTCAACTAAACAGATAATACAGGATCTTGTTCTGCTGCCCAGGCTGGAGTGCAGTGGCACTATCACAGCTCAATGCCACCTCGACCTCCTGGGCTCAAGTGATCCTCCTGCCTTAGGATCCCGAGCAGCTGGTACCACAGGTGTGCTCCATGCCCGGCTAATTTTTATTTTTAATAGAAACGAGGTCTCATTATGTTGCCTAGGTGGGTTTCAAACTCCTGAACTCAAGCGAGCCTCCCGTCTCGGCCTCCCAAAGTGTTGGGATTACAGGCGTGAGCCACCATGCCTGGCCCAAAGATAATACTTAAAACTCATCACTTCCTAATGTATTTGGCATTTGGCTACTGCTGATGAGGTTATTTGCATCCACTGTGTCTACATGGTGGAGATGCCATAGAATATGGTTGTTCATGCAGATCTCAACCCAGCTCCATGTGCAAACTCCCCATTCAGCGATGTGACCTCAAAATCCGACAGTAGCATTTACACCATGGACATCAGCAAGGGCCATGAAGCAAAACCTTTTATTTCCACGAAGAGCAGAGGCTGTTACGACACTCACCAACACACCATGGGGTGGGAGGGCGATGTCTCGTTATAGATCCAGTTTTATCATATGTACATAATACGTATATATCTATCACGAGCATGTATTACGAATTCAGATTTCTAACACTAGTAACCGATAAAAGCAAGCTAGAAAGCAGGCAGGCCTAGCCCAGCCGGCGCACTGGGAGGCCTGGGGCGTGGGTGACAGGTGTCTTACCGAAGGCTTTGGCCACCGCAACGCTCTCCAGGAGGCCCATCAGGGGCACCACGGCCAGCCCGGCCCCCATGTCCTGAGAGGGGAGAGAGGGACGGTGAGTGACCTTCCTAAGGGGTAGGACCCGGCAGTGTCCCATGAAGGCAGCAAGGAGCCACACCTCCCCACAGGTAACAGGAGCAAGTGCTTGTCAGCTGCAGGAGGCGCCTCCTTGTCTGAAGAGGCGCCAGGTGCTGGGAGGAACACAGCAAATTCATCCTTAGCTGGAGTCCAAAACAGGAGAAGCACCCCGGAACGCAAACATGACATCCCTGAGCTCGCTGAGCCTGCGTCCGACCTGGGATTCTTTAATGACGGAGATGTCCCTTCCTGAGGACTCAGCTGTCCCAACTGACCTCAGACCCCCTGGCACCCAGAAGACGCATCAGGGTAGGGGCCAGGCCACGGGCCACTGCAGCCTCGGCCACGCCATCCTGGCTCCCGGCTCTGCCCACCTGCACCATCTCGGTGAAGGAGATCGTCCCGTTGGCTGTGGTCACTGAGAAGGGCGGGGTTCGGACTGGAGGGAGCCCCTCAGCTGTCTCCCCTGTCAGGATGAAGGGCTGGTATCCAGTCACCTCGAAGGAGTATGCAACCAGGGCCGCGAAGGAGACCACCAGGGCGTTGCGAGCTAGGAGAGAAGGAGAGGTGCGTCCAGGACCCTGCTCCTGGCGAGCATGGGGTAGCGTGGCTGCCTCCAGATTATTGGGGCAGACACCCCAAGGGCAGAAGAGGCCCCTGCTGGGCCACAGTCCTCACTCTGCACTCTGGGAAACATAGCACAGGCACAAGTGCTATGTGGCAGCATGAGCAGGTGGGATGGCAGAGCTGCACGTTGCAGACAGGTGCACATGCCACCTGCTGCCAAGCTCCAGGTGACTAGACGTCGTGCACCCTGGCAAAGACTCTCTGAAATCAGGTGCCCAGGGCACATCCACCTCAAAGCACAAGGGAGGAAGAAGCCAGATGTACCCCCCTTCCCCAAACAACAAAAACAATGGCCTCCAAGATGTGGGACAGTGGGCATGATGGCCACTAAGACGCAGGACAGCGGGCATGACGGCCACCGGGAAACGAGGGAGGTGAGTCTGTCACTGCCCTGCCGGCTGCCTGTGGTTTCCCTGATGGTCCCTATGTGCATGGAGGGGACCCCCTAGCAGAACCCAGGGGTCTCCCTGAGTTCAGGGGGCAATGCTGGGAGGGAGTCTGAGGAGGCCTGCGGCTGGAGCTGACAGCAAGGTCACAGGAGCAGAGAAGGCGGCCAGAGACAGAGCTCAGAGATCTGCAGAGGTGCCCTCGGGTGTGCAGCAGAGAACTGGTCGAGGCAAAGTGGGGCGAAAAAGACCCAAATCCACAGTGGGGAAGAGGGTTACAAGGGACAATCCCAGGGACTCACACCAGAGTGAAAAACCCTCATAATTCATGGAGCATCACAAACTCCTGAGGGTTTTACCTCAGCAGTGGAGAAGATTAGCCCAAGGTCTGGGGTTGGCAAATTTTTTCTGTAAGGACTAAATACTAAAAACCTTCTGCTTTGTGGGCCATAAAGTCTCTGGTGCAACTACTCAAGTCTGTTATTACTGCATAAAAGTTGACATTGACAAAGTAAATGAATGGGAGTGACTTTCCAATAAAACTTTATTTACAAAATCAAGTGGTGGGCCAGATTAGGCTTGCCCTAGAATGAACACGGCTCTGGTCCAGCTCACAAAGCTTAAAAGTAAGATCCTAAATGGATCAAACTGTCCTAAGTAACTTAACTATATCCCAGAACAAAGCTCAAGAAGATTTATAGAATACAAAAATATCCAGCATGCTATAACCTCAAACTCACAAAGTCTAGCATCCATGCAAACAAAAATTACTAGGCATACAAAGCAGCAGGAAAATATGGCTGGGTGCAGTGGCCCATGCCTGTAATCCCAACACTTTGGGAGGCCAAGACAGGAGAATCGCTTGGGCCCAGGAGTTTGAGGACAGTCTGAGCAAATTAGTGAGACACTATCTCTACAAAAAATAAAAAATTAGTTGAGCACGGTGGCATACGCCTGTAGTCTCAGCTACTTGGGGGACTGAGGTGGGATGCTCACTTGAGCCTGGGAGGTTGAGGCTGCAGTGAACCATGATCATGCCACTGTACTCTAGCCCAGGTGACACAGTGAGACCCTGTCTCAAAAAATAAAAATTAAAATGGAAAAAAAGACCCAAAAGTAACATAGTTAAAGATGACAGAATTAACCAGATGTTAAAAGAGGAACTGTAACCAAATGTAATATGAAAGGACATTAAAAGAATTAAAATAGGCCGGGCGCGGTGGCTCAAGCCTGTAATCCCAGCACTTTGGGAGGCCGAGACGGGTGGATCGTGAGGTCAGGAGATCGAGACCATCCTGGCTAACACGGTGAAACCCTGTCTCTACTAAAAAATATTAAAAACTAGCCGGGCAAGGTGGCGGGCGCCTGTAGTCCTAGCTACTCGGGAGGCTGAGGCAGGAGAATGGCGTGAACCCAGGAGGCAGAGCTTGCAGTGAGCCGAGATCCGGCCACTGTACTCCAGCCTGGGCGACAGAGCAAGACTCCGTCTCAAAAAAAAAAAAAAAAAAAAAATGAAAATAGTTAATAGGACATTAAAAGAATAACTGTAACCAAATTCCATATACTTTAAAAAAAAAAAAAGAGAGGAAAGATTGCAACTGTTAAGTAAAGATGTACAAAATACATTTTAAAAGATTCATATTGAGGCTGGGCATGGTAGCTCACGCATGTAATCCCAGCAGTTTGGGAGGCTGAGGCAGGTGGATCACCTGAGGTCAGGAATTCGAGATTGGCCCAGCCAACAAGGTGAAGCTCCGTCTCTACTAAAGATACAAAAAATTAGCCAGGCGTGGTGGCGGGTGCCTGTAATCCCAGCTACTTGGGAGGCTGAGGCAGGAGAATCACTTGAACCCGGGAGGCAGAGGTTGCAGTGAGCCGAGATTGCGCCATTGCACTCCAGCCTGGGCAACAGAGCGAAATTCTATCTTAAAAAAAAAAAAAAAGAAAGAAAGAAAAGAAAAGAAAAAGAAAAAAAAGATTCAAATTTGGATTTCTAGTAATGAAAACCACAGTGTCTGAGATGGAAGAAGCACTTGATACAATTAACAACAGTGGAGACATTACAGAAAAAAAAAGACTAAAATGTAGCAGAAGAAACTATTCAACAGGAAACACACAATGGAAAAGACTAAAAATCACAAGTGAGCTGTGGGAACAGCTTCAAGGTGCCTGAAATACAGGTATGGGCGTCTGCAAAAAAGTCTGTGGAATCACATAGGGGGACACTGCAAAGATTTCAAGAAAAGATGGGTGTATATTTTCCAAATGTGATGAAACTGCAAACCCACATATCTAAGAAGTTCAATGAATCCTAAGCATAAACACAGAAAAAAACAAACAAAAAACACGACATCAAGCCACATTATGAAACTCCCTAAAACCAGTGATAAAGAATATTTTAAAAGCAGTGGAGAAAAAGGTTACATACAGAGGAACAAAAATAAGAATGACAGCACACTTCTTGAAAACAAGTGGGCCAGAAGACAGCAGAATAGCATCTTTAAAGTCCTGAGGCCAGGCACAGTGGCTCACGCCTGTAATCCTAGCACTTTGGGAGGCCAAGGAAGGTGGATCACCTGAGGTCAGGAGTTCGAAACCAGCCTGGCCAACATGGTGAAATCCCATCTCTGCTAAAACTACAAAAATTAGCTGGGCATGGTGGCATGTGCCTGTAATTCCATCTACTTGGGAAGCTGAGACAGGAAAATCGCTTGAACCTAGGAGGCAGAGATTGCAGTGAGCCAAGATCGTGCCACTGCACTCCAGCCTGGGTGACACAGCAAGACACCGTCTCAAAATAAAAAAATAATAATAATTTTTTAAAAAAAAGTATTGAAAAAAAAAAGTCGAGAATTCTATCACCAGCAAAACTATCTTTGAAAAACGAAGGCAAAATAGACTTTCAGACACACAAAAGTCAAAAGTTGAAAGAAGACCAGGAGTAGTGGCTCACACCTGTAATCCCAGCACTCTGGAAGCCAAGGTGGGAGGATCCCTTGAGCCCAGGAGTTAGAGACCAGCCTGGGCAACGTAGGAAGACACCATCTCTACAAAAAGTAAAAATAAAAAAGTATCCAGGCGTGGTGATGCACACCTATAGTCCCAGCTACTCAGGAGGCTGAGGCAGGAGGATTGCTTGAATCTAGGAGTTTAAGGCTGCAGTGAACTGTAATTGCGCTACTGCATTCCAGCCTGGGTGACAGAATCCTGTCTCTTAAAATAAAAAAATAAAAAATAAAAAAAAGGAAGGAAGAAAGAAAGAAAGAAAAAGCTGAAAGAATTAATCACCAACAGGCCTGCAACAGAAGAAAAAATAAAGTCCTTCAGGTAGAAGGAGAATGATACCAGATGGAAATCTGGATTTGTACAAAGGAATTAAGAGCACCAGAAACAGTTACTACATGGATAAATATAAAAGACTTTGTTCCTGCAGGGAATGGTGGCTCACGCCTGCAATCTCAGCACTTTGGTTGGCTGAGGCAGGAGCATCACTTGAGGCCCAGAATCTTTGACCAGCCTGAGCAACATAGACCGTTTCTACAAAAAAAATTTTTTTAAATTAGCCAAATGTGGTGATGCATGCCTGTAGACCAAGCTACTCAGGAGGCTGAGGCAGGAGGATTACTTGAGCCCAGGAGTTTGCAGCTTCAGTGATAGATCTTGGCTCACTGCAATCTCTGCCTCCCAGGTTCAAGCAATTCTCCCACCTCAGCCTCCCCAGCAGCTGGGATTACAGGCATGCACCACCATGCCTGGCTAATTTTTTGTATTTTAGGTAGAGATGGGGTTTTGCCATGTTTCCCAGGCTGGTCTTGAACTCCTGAGGTAGACAATCCGCCTCCCTTGGCCTCCCAAAGTGCTAGGATTACAGATGTGAGCCACTGCACCTGGCCTGCTATAAGGTTCTTATGTCACATGAAGTTGAAGTTTAATGTATACTGTAGCAAGATAAAGATGTTTACTACAAACCTTAAAGCAGCCACTTAGAAACAAAAACTAAATATAGCAGTTACAGCTAATCAGCCAATAAAGGACATAAAATGGAATCATTAAAAAATAATCAATAGAGGTAGAAAAAGGGGGAAAAGGGAACAAAGAACAAATGAGACAAAGAGGAAACAAACAGCAATATGGTAGATCTAAAGTCAAACATACCAATAATGACATTAAATATAAATGGCATAACATTCCAATTAAAAGGCAGAGATTATCAGATTAAAAACAAATCCCATCTATATGCTGCCTACAAAACATACCATTAAACACAAGAACACAAATTAATTAAATACATTAAAAGTAAAAAGATATGAGGCTGGGTGTGGTGGCCCAGCACTTTGGGAGGCCATGGCAGGTGGATCACTTGAGGCCAAGAATTTGAGACCAGGCTGGCCAACATGGTGAAACCTCATCACTACTAAAAATACAAAAATTAGCTGGGCTTGGTGGTGCAAGCCTGTAATCCCAGCTACTTGGGAGGCTGAGGCACAAGAATTGCTTGAACCTGGGAGGTGGAGGTTGCAGTGAGCCAAGATCACGCCATTGCACTCCAGCCTGGGCAACAGAGAGAGATTCTGTCTCAAAAAAAAAAAAGTAAAAAGATGGGAAAAGATATGCTAATACTAATCAAAAGAAAGCTGGAGTAGCTCTCTGAGTATCAAAGTAGATTTCAGGGCAGAGAATATTGCCCAGAAAAAAAGAGAAACATTCCAAGAGAAAATTATAATTCTATATGTTTATATACTAAAAAACAGAGCTTCAACATATATGAAACAATAACTGATAACTAAGAAAGGAGACAAAGTCACAGCTATAGCTGAAGTTATTTCAACATTCTTCTTTTAATAAGCAACAGAACAAATAGAAAGAAAATCAGCAAGAATATAGTAGTCTGAGATAAACAATTAGACCTGACATTTACAGAACATTCCACCCAATAATGGCAGAAAACATTATTTCTCAAGTGCACACAGAACATTCACTAAGATAGACCATATTCAGGGCCATAATACAACTCTCAATAAAGGAAAACAATTTAAATCACAAAGTATGTTTTCTTATCACAATGGAACTCAATTAGAAATCAATGGCAAAGTACTAATTGGAAAATTCCCAACTATTTGGAAACTAAATAACTCCCATGGTTCAAAGGAAAAATCATATAATCTACTTCTAAATAATCCACAGGTCAAAGGGGAAGTCAAAATGGAAATCAGAAAGTATTTAGAACTGAATGAAAATTGAAAAACAGCATATATATCAAAATTGTGGGATGCAAACGAAGTAGTGCTAGGAGTGAAATTTATAGCATTTAAACAACTATATTAGAAAAGAAGAAAGGTCTCAAATCAAAGACCTAGGCTTCCACCTTAAGAATCTGAAAAAGAGGGCGGGCACGGTGGCTCATGCCTATAATCCCAGCACTTTGGGAGGCCAAGGTGGGTGGATTACCTGAGGTCAGGAGTTCGAGACCAGCCTGGCCAATATGGTGAAACCCCATCTCTACTGAAAATACAAAAAATTAGCTAGGAATGGTGGCATATGCCGGTAATCCCAGCTACTCAGGAGACTGAGGCAGGAGAATCACTTGAACCCAGGAGGTGGAGGTTGCAGTGAGCTGAGATCACGCCATTGCACTCCAACCTGGGGGCCAAGAGCAAAACTCTGCCTCAAAAAAAAAAAAAAAAAAAAATTAAAAAAAAAATTTTTTTGAAAAAAAAAAAAAATAAATCAAAATAAATAGAAGAAAGGAAATAATAAAGCCCCAAGCAGAAACCAATGAACTAGAAAACACAAGCAAAAGGGAGATCAGTGAAACCAAAAGTTAGTTATTTGAGACGATCACTAAAATTGATACACTTCTAGACAGACCATTGAGAAAAAAAGGCAGATGACTCGGGTGAAATCCTTGTTCTGCCTCTTCCCAGCCGTGTGGCCTTGAGAAGTTCTGTTTTATTTTTCGTCTTTCAGAGGCTCACTTTCCTCATTGACAAAATGGAGAAAATAAATTCATCCTCAACGCTGTTGTAAGAATCAAAAGCTTTTTAAGTAGTTTCCCCAGGACAATGCTACACACACTGGGAGAAAGGAGACAGCAGCCCTACACTGTCAACCCTACACTGTCAATGTTTCTCAAGTTTCTGTACATTATGACGTTTTGACATCTTACAAGACCTTTCTGGCTGTGGAGAGACTGCCTTCAGGGTTAGGCAAGTCTTAGAGACAAAAGCAGCCCTAAGTATGTCTCTGATATGCCAGCTAACCCCTCGGGAGCCATCCTTCCTCCACCTGCCTGGCCTGCACCCCAGGAGGCAAGATTTTTCTGCCTTATGCCTGAAGCCCTCCAAAATTCCTCCAACTGCCAGTCCTAAGCTGGTCACCTTTCTTCACCTTGCCTTTATTGTGAAAACCTCAATAAAGGCTGTGGCCTAAACCACAGCTTTGGCTTCTCCTCCTGGCCACCCTAGTGTCCTCTGACATGGCCCTACATGGCATGCTGTGCCTCCTGTCTCTAGGACCTGTGAGTACAATAAACTGATTTTCTTCCTGAGCCTTTCTCGGTCTCCCCTTGTGGCCGCACCTGACTCACCATCTCATAAAGTAACACGAAACAAGTCTCTAAGAAACACGGGGTCTCTAAGCAGTTCCCAAACTTTGACTTCTTTTTTTTTTTTTTTTTTTTTTTGAGACGGAGTCTCGTTCTGTTGCCAGGCTGGAGTGCAGTGGTGCAATCTTGGCTCACTATAACCTCTGCCTCCCGGTTCAAGCGATTCTCCTGCCTCAACCTCCTGAGTAGCTGGGATCACAAGCACACGCCACCACATCCAGCTAATTTTTGTATTTTTAGTAGAGACAGGGTTTTGCCATGTTGGCCAAGCTGGTTTCGAACTCCTGACCTCAGGTGATCTGCCTCCCTCAGCCTCCCAAAGTGCTGGGATTACAGGCGTGAGCCACCGTGCCCAGCTTCCAAACTCTGACTTCTAAGGTGATCCCATGAATCCCCTGGGCATGCGCTGAAGAATATAGATTCTGATTTGGACATCTGGGGTGGGACCTGAGATCCTGCCTTTCCAGTAAGCTCCCAGGAGATGTCTAGTGCCCAGGCTGCTGGTCCCAGGCCACACTCTGTGTCTCAAGGTTTAAGACAACGAAGCATAGTCTGGGAGCAGTGGCTTAGGCCTGTAATCCCAGCATTTCGGGAGGCCAAGGTGGGCAGATCACTTGAGGTCAGGAGTTCGAGACCAGCCTGGCCAACATGGTGAAATCCCATCTCTACTAAAAATGCAAAAATTAGCCTGGTAAGATGGTGGTGCACGCCTGTAATCCCAGCTAATCGTGAGGCTAAGGCGGCACAATCACTTGAAACCAGGAGGCAGGTTGCAGTGAGCCAAGATCATGCCATTGCACTCCAGCCTGGGCAACAGAGTGAGACACCATCTCCAAATAATAATAATAATAATAATAATAATAAGATAACAAAGCGTTTTCACTACTTCACGGACAACTGAACTAAAGCTCAGGACCTTCGGAAGCTACTCTGCAAGTCTAAGCCCAGGCCAGGCTGGGACTGGAAGCTGGACATCTCCACTCCAAACCCAGCGTCCTCTGCACCCTACGAGGCTCTCAGTGTTCACCATGGCCTCAAGTGTGCTGAACAGGATCCAGGGAGAGACCACAGGGAACAGACCAGCCTGGGCAGGAGGAAGTGACTCAAGAACTAAATCCAGCCACCCTCTCTCTCCTATGGCTGTTAGATTTTGCAGCCCCCCAACAGCACAGCCAAGCTCAGGCTGTTCTGAGCTTAATCTGTCCCCTCAGCTCTGAGAAGGTTCGGAGTCACCTAGGCTTCCTGACCTTCCTGGGTGTGCCCTCCTCTCTGGGCCTCCCTGCCCGGTGCTCAGCCAGGGGACCTGTGCCCATCTTGGATGTACTGAGAAGAGGCTTCCACCTCCCCCAGGGCGGTCCTTCACCTGCTGACAGCCCTGCTGCTCCTCCCACAACGCAGCCCTCACCACCCCTTTCTCAGAGGACCCTTGGCTATCTGTGGCTCAGCCTGCAGCCTCCACCCCTGAAGCTGAAGTTGGACCCCAGCAAGTTGCACAATTCAAACAGAGCCTGTTGGTCTCCGTGGAATTTGCTTTCTCTCCCCAGGACCGGCCAGTAGACTGGGTTTCTCCACCTCGGCACCACTGACATTTTGGGCCAGATCACTGTTTGCTGTGGAAGCCTGTGTACTCTCAGGGGTTTGGTGGCATTCCTGGCCTCTCCTCACTAGTTGCCAGCAACTGCCTTGCCCGGTGGTATCCACCAAAAATGTTTCCCAACATTGCCAAATGTCACCAGGGGGCAAAAGTGCTGCAGGGTAAGAACTACCAGAGCTGGCCAGTTCTCAGCTCTGGCTGTGTGTCAGTTTTCAGCTCTGGCTGCATCAGAACCCACCGAGTTTGGTTCAGAGTTTTAAATGTCCCAGAGTTTGGGTCGGGGCGGTGGCTCATGCCTGTAATCCCAGCACTTTGGGAGGCTGAGGCGGGCAGATCACTTGAGGTCGGGAGTTTGAGACCAGTGCGGTCAACATGGTAAAACCCTGTCTCTACTAAAAATACAAAAATCAGTCGGGCGTGGTGGCAGGCGCCTGTAATCCCAGCTACTCAGGAGGCTGAGGCAGGAGAATCACATGAACCTGGGAGGCGGAGGTTGCAGTGAGCTAAGATCACATCATTGTACTCCAGCCTGGGCGACAGAGCGAAACTCCATCTCAATCAATCAATCAATCAAATAACATGTCCCAGAGTTTGGTGTGGTGTTTTATATGTCCCAATGCTCAAGTTACACCCAGACCAATGACATGAGACTCTCTGGGAGTGGGACTCAGGACTCCCCAAGTGACCCCAACCTGCAGCCAAGGTTGCATACGATGTCAGCCAGAGGTCCCTCACCTGTCGTGGCAGACCAGACCAGCCTGTGGCTGAGCCGCACACCAAGGGGCATCTCAGGGTGGACGGGAGGCATGTGGTCCCGCATCAGCTTCAGCAGCAGCAGCAGCAGCATACAGACCAGCCCCAGGACGGCATCACCTACCCTGTGGACAGGCAGAGGATGGTCACCACCCAGCTTGGCCCAGGCCTCCTGTGGACTCCAGCGTCTTGCTGCTGCTTAAGCTGGGAGGTGCCAAGAAGCTCCCAGGGGAGGCCCAATGCCCAGGCTGGCCCCAGACGACAGCGAGTTTCAAGGCTTAAGGAAATAAATCATTTTCAATATTTTTGCTGTTTCACAGACACTTAACTAAAGCTCAGGAACCTTAGCAAGCTACTCTGCAAGACTAAGCACAGGCTAGGCACAGATGTTTTCTCCTACGCTTTCTCCTAAGCCATAGACATCATCCCTGTTCTACTTCAAAATTCAATTCAAAATTCAGGGTACACAGGCTTGTGCAGGACGGGCAGTGGAGGGGCCTGGTCACAACGGTGGCAGGGTGACGTGCTCATATGTTCACTCCCGTAGCTCTCTGGGACTCAAGTCTGTGACACAGGATCTGCTGAGTGACCACAAGGAACGGGACCAGCCTGAGCAGCTCTCTGCAGGTGGCTCTAGAACGAGTCTGCCAAACCCACAGCCTGGGGCCATGCGCAGCCTGGGAGAGCTCTGAATGTGGCCCAACACAAATTTGTAAACTTTCTTAAAACATGATGAGTTCTTCAGGTGATTCTTTTTTCCAGCTTATCAGCTATCATTAGTGTATTTTATGTACAGCCCAAGACAATTCTTCCTGTGTGGCCCGGGGAAGCCAAAAGATTGGACACCCTGCTCTAGACATTCTAGAAGGCTTAAGAATAAACAGTCAGTAAGGCCCCTTTTCCCTCTGACAGTCCGTGATGTTCTCTAACGGGTCAGGCTCCATAATCACTGCTCCCCCATCCGGCCGACCCCTGCCCACTGGTGCCTCTGAAGGGTAAGGAACCCACTGGCTTCCAGCTGGGTTCAGCTGCTGGGAAGCTTTGGCAGCAGGTCAGAGGGGAGGGGAAGATGGTCCAGGATCGCCCCCACTCCCTCCAGGCCACAGCACTGGGCAGCCATCTCTACAGGTCCCCCAGATCACTTCCTCCTCCAGTCCCTTCCAGCCAGAGAGGTAGAGAGGTATCCCGCCTTCCCGCTGGCTGGTCTGGCAGGGAGGTACCCCTCATCAGAGGCCCTTTTTTTTTTTTTTTTTTTGGAGATGGAGTCTCGCTCTATTACGCAGGCTGGAATGCAGTAGCGTGATCTCAGCTCACTGCAACCTCCACCTCCTGGGTTCAAGTGATCCTCCTGCCTCAGCCTCCCGAGTAGCTGGGACTACAGGCACACACCACCACACCTGACTAATTTTTGTATTTTTAGTAGAGATGGAGTTTCACCATGTTGACCAGGCTGATCTTAAACTCCTGACCTAAGGTGATCTGCCTGCCTGGGCTTCCCAGAGTGCTGGGATTACAGGCGTGAGCCACCGTGCCCGGCCATCAGAGGTTCTTTAAACCACCTGAGGGAAGTGCTTGGGTCTCCTTATCTCTCATCACAGCCTCTCACCTGCCGTCCCTGCGGCAACTGCGTTCTGTCTGTGTTAGCTGCCCCATGCCCTGTGTTCTCTTCCTTCACAAATCACAACCCGGGAGAGATACACTGCCTTCTTTTTCTTTACCCAGTCTCTTCCCATTTCTGTCCCCCAAGAAAGCTTTGTGGAGAGAGGAACACTGCGTCTCGGCTCCCCAGAGCAGAGCTTCTCGAATTCTCCCCTGTGCACAGGCCATGGGCCTCCTATTAAAACACTGGCTCTGGCCGGGCGCGGTGGTTCACGCCTGTAATCCCAGCACTTTGGGAGGCCGAGGCGGGTGGATCACAAGGTCGGGAGATCGAGACCACAGTGAAACCCCGTCTCTACTAAAAATACAAAAAAAAATTAGTCGGGCATGGTGGCGGGTTCCTGTAGTCCCAGCTACTCAGGAGGCTGAGGCAGGAGAATGGCATGATCCCGGGAGGCGGAGCTTGCAGTGAGCCGAGATCGCGCCACTGCACTCCAGCCAGGGGGACAGAGCGAGACTCCGTCTCAAAAAATAAAATAAAATAAAATAAAAAATAAAACACTGGCTCTGGCCGGGCAGGTCTGGAAAGGGCTGAGAGTCTCATTTCTTGCCAGCTCGCAGGTGCTGCTGAGGGGCTGCTCTGGGGACCCCTGTCTGAGCAGCCACCAGGCGTGGAAACTGAGGTGGGGGCTGGCAGAGGAGGTGTGGGAGGAGGAGCTTCCTTATAGGAGGGAGGAACAAAGCCCGGGGTACCTGGTCTCTGCGATCCTGAGGAAGGTGTGGTACACCTGCAGGAAGAACTGTCTGGGGATGTTCTGTAGTCCCAGCAGGTTCTGTCCAAACACAGAGAGGCTGATCAGAGGCCTTGCCCCCAAACCAAGGCCATCTGGCCCCAGCTCCCCGCCCACCTGTCCCCAGGCTGAGGCAGTGTCCCCTGCCCCACAACCCCCTTCCCAGACCCTCATTCCCGGGGCCCATCTTAGGGGCTCAGGGGTCCCTCTGCACACTTCCAATGCCCCCTAGGGCAGGAGATCAAAGCTACCCTCGGGGGAGACAGTCCTTCACGATTACTGGGTCAGTGATATGTTTCTCTAAATTACTTTTCTCATAAAAAACAGTGTAGGTGACCCCATAGCAGGGAGCCGGGTTCTACAGCTCGATGGCCAGGGGCCATGGGCTGCCCAGCCCCGCCCCCCATTGGCTTGAGGCAGCTGGGTGGCCAGGCCCCCTGCAATGTAGACCCTTGCTGCCACTGGCTTGAGAATGCCTCCATCACTAGGTGCCCCGCCACCCCCTAGCCCTGCCGCTGCAGAATCTTCACAGCGCACAGATGTGGAGGGTTCCCAGAGGCTTCAAGAAGCTGGGCTGGGGAATCCTCAGCCAGGTAGGAATCTCCCACCATGATGCCAGCTCTCAGGGGTCCTGGGCGGGGGAAGGCACTCCATCCTGTGTTTCAGTTTAGTTTTTTTTTCTTTGAGGGGGGGTGGGTCTTGCTTGCTCTGTGGCCCAGGCTGAATTTGAACTCCTGGGCTCCAGTGATCCTCCCACCTCGGCCTCCCACGTAGCTGGGATCTACAGTGCAGGCACAGCTTGTGCTTTAGTTCTTTATGTCGCCTGAGACTCGATAGGAGTCAGAGGGGAAAGTCGAGGCTCAGGCTCCCAGGGCCACAGGCTCAAGGACCCTGCCCTAAAACAGCTGCGCACGGGGTGGGTGGGGTTAGGACATCCTGGTGGGCGGGCGGACTCTGGGACTGCTGGGGTAGGGGCTTCTGTCCTGAGCATGTCAGGGGACGCCCTCCCCGCAGATGGCTGCAGAGTCCCTGGGCAGGGCTTTTAGTTCTTTATGTCGCCTGAGACTCGATAGGAGTCAGAGGGGAAAGCCGAGGCTCAGGCTCCGGTGGCCACAGGCTCAAGGACCCTGCCCTAAAACAGCTGCGCATCGGGGTGTGGGTTAGGACATCCTGGTGGGCGGGCGGACTCTGGGACTGCTGGGGTAGGGGCTTCTGTCCCAGCATGTCAGGGACGCCCTCCCCGCAGATGGCTGCAGAGTCCCTGGGCAGGGCTAGAGGGGACGCCTCCCCGCAGATGGCTGCAGAGTCTCCTGGGCAGGGTAGAGGGGACGCTCCCGCAGATGGCTGCAGAGTCCCTGGGCAGGGCTAGAGGGGACGCCCTCCCCGCAGATGGCTGCAGAGTCCCTGGGCAGGGCTAGAGTTGCCAAGTATGAAGGCCTGAACAAGGCACTCTCCACTCTCACTGCGATCCTAAAAAGAACATTCTTGATACCAAAAACGATGTTTCCAGAATAAAGAACCAACCATGCCCTGAAACAGCATTTGCCAAGTTAACCCTGAGAGATGTGTGTAGATAACATACAAATCACACTCACCCACACCTAAGTTGGTCTCTCCTCTCTAAAATGGAAATAATGACACACCTACCTCCCACGAGTGTGCTGAGAATTACACACGGAGAGTGTCTTGCCCAGTGCCTCGCACGTAGCAAGAGTGCAAAACGCGTCTATTCACACACGCATGCTCACATATGCACACTCTCACGTATGCACTCTCTCATTCACACACTCACATACACTTTCACACACTCACACACCCTCTCACATACACTCTCACACTCACACACTTTCACACTCACGTACACACACTCAACCACACACACTCACATACATACACTCACACACACTCACACACTCTCACACTCACACACTCACATACACACTCTCACATACTCTCTCTCACACTCTCACACTCACTCACACACACTCTCACACTCACACACTTTCACACTCACACACACTCAACCACACACACTCACACTCACACACACTCACTCATACACTCTCACACACTCACATACTCTCACATACTCTCACACTCACACACACTCATACTCATACACACACTCTCACACTCACATACTCACACTCACTCACACACACACTCACACTCACACACACACACATTCTCCTGTCCTTGGTCTTCTCATGGTGCCTCCATCAGGGAAGACTGTCTCAGGCTAGCCTGGAGCAGAGCCTGGCAGTGACACAGGGTCAGGAGGCAGCATGTGACCCTAGTCTGTCATGAGGGCCACACAGCCCCATCTGTGGAATTGGGTTTACTTCACACACACCCAACTGAGCACCCCGCTACTGCAAAAGCCCAGTGCTGGGCGGCCATGGCTGGGAGAAGGACAGTTCCTGCCCTCGAGGAACTTACAACCCAGCAAAAAGACAATAAATTACACCCTCAGCTGATGACTGACTTTAGAGCTTGTTAGAGATGTTTTAAAGGGAAATATAAAATGCATGGCATTGAAGAAATATTAAACAGAAACCGGGGGAGAAAAGGCACAGAACGAAACCATCTAGCTAAATTAGCATGGGGAAATCATTTGCTTGTAGAAATTCTAGCAGCGTGCTCGTGACCGGTGGGGCCTGCTGGATGTGCCCAGTGCAGGGAGAACACAGCCACGTCACAGAGCCAGCCGAGCACACTGGCACAGAAACGCGGGCAAGAGCAGGGGGATGGAATTACCGGCCCCCCAGTTACCCGCTGTAAAATCCAACCATCACGAAACATCCCTCCCGGGGGTCATTTATTAACAGGACACCCGTGAGAGCACCGCGTGCTTCTTAACCCACAGAGGACAACCTGAAACAGCAAGACGTCCACTGACCACAGGGGCCAGGACTGGCCTCGGTCCTGCTCCCGCTCTCCCCGAGCCAACAAGCAGCAGCCAAAGAGCAGTGTCCTGGGTGGGCACTGTGCCTACCTTGATCTGTCCAAAGCCGATGGTGACTGTAGCAGCAGAGGTGAAGCCTTTGATGACGGGGCAGGAAATGAAGTCCAGCAGGAACCCTGGCCGGCCAAGAGGGAACACCAAGCTGGTCCCAGCTCCACCCAGTCCCAGAGGATGAGGGGCGATGTGAGCTGGGGACACCAAGCTGGTTCCAGCTCCACCCAGTCCCAGAGGATGAGGGGCGATGTGAGCTGGGGGAGGCGGCACGGGTGGGATCGGGGAGCAGACATTGCAGCTACGGACTGGGGGTAACACACCCTGCTTGGCTGCTCTTGGAGAGCAGAAAAGGGAAACTGGGGTCTGAGGCCACAGGCACTTCTCCAAAGTGTCCTGGCCTCTAAGCAGAAAAGAGTAGACTAAAGGCCAAGCGTCCCATCCCCTCTACCACCCACCCACCTACACACCAAAACACACACCCACACCCACACCACACTCATACACACATACCCACACCCCCATGACACACACATACCCACACCCCCACGACACACACACACCCACACCCCCACGACACACACACACACCCCCACACCCCCACAACACACACACACCCACACCCCCACGACACACACACACACCCCCACACCCCCACACACACACCCCCACACCCCCCCAACACACACACACCCACACCCCCACGACACACACACACACCCCCAGCCACCCCACGACACACACACACCTCACACCCCCGACACACACACACACATACCACACCCCAATGACACACACACACACACACACTTCTACACCCCCACAACACACACACACCCACAATTCCCCACGACACACACACACACCCCCACACCCCCACGGTATACACACACACCCCCACACCCCGACACACACACACATACCCACACCCCCACGACACACACACACACACACCCCCACACCCCCACAACACACACACACCCACACCCCCACGACACACACACCCACACCCCCACGACACACACACCCACACCCCCAGGACACACACACACACATACCCACACCACCACACACACACACCCACCCCCACGACACACACACATACATACCCATACCCCCACGACACACACATACACACCCCCACGACACACACACACACCCACACCCCCACGACACACACACCCCCACGACACACACACACACACCCCCACGACACACACGGGGATAGACCTTGAAATGCAAACAAGGAAATGCTGAGGTCAAGGGCATCCCCTTGGTAAGAAGGTAGAGCCTCACCCAAATGCAGGACCCCCATGGCCAGCTGGATGCAGCCGGACAGGAAGGCCAGCAGCACAGCATAGGCAGGCTCGTGGAAGGTGTAGAAGGAGACCAGAAGGGACATAATGGCGGTGGGTCCCAGAGTCACATCCCGGGAGGTGCCCAGGAAGAAATAGACGAAGCAGCCCACGAAGGCAGAGTAGAGGCCGTACTGTGGGGAGAGGCGGCGGTGAGCACGCGGGAGGCTGAGGCCTGTCCACCAGGTCCCTAGTGTGTGCATCCAAGCACGGGATCTGTGGGTGCCAGCTGTGTCCCAGGCACCCAAGCACGCACAGGTGAGAGGTGCACCACCCTGCCCTGTGGGTGGACCTGCGGTGATCAGGAGACCACTGCTTCAGCAGCACCTAACTGGGGGCTCAGGGTGCAGACAGCAAGGCAGAGGGGTTGGTGCAGGCCCGTGTGCTGTGTCCAACTCTGAGGAAACATTCTTTTTTTTTTTTTTTTTTTTTTTCCTGAGACAGGGTCTTGCTCTGTCACCCAGGGTGGAGTGCAGTGGCACGATCTAGGCTCAAAGCAACCTCCGTCTCCCGGTTTCAAGCAGTTCTCCTGCCTCAGCCTTCCCAGTAGCTGGGATTACAGGTGCCCGCCACTGCGCCTGGCTAATTTTTGTATTTTTAGTGGAGACAGGGTTTCACCATTTTGGTCAGGCTGGTCTTGAACTCCTGAGGCCTCCGTGAGTTATCTCACTGGCCTCTTCATAACCAGCTCAGTGTCTGTGTGTGACAAACAGGCACAGGAGCCTGGATCGGCCCAGAGACAGTCATGCATCACACACTGTAAACCAAAGGTTCCTTGGCGCCCAGGGGCTGGAAACCTGGAATCTCTGCTGGTGTCTGGGATTGATACTGTGTATTCTGCACTGCTTCTGAGATGTGGCTGGCAGCAGGGTCAGACACTCACCTGGGGCGGGAGTCCAGCCACTTCAGCATAGGCCAGTGCCTGGGGAATGGCAGTGAGGCCAACTGAGAGACCGGCGATGAAATCCATCTTCAGCCACTGCAGGGAGTAGCTCGGCAGCCACGCCAGGATGGGCAGTCTCCTCTGCAAGGCCTCGGGGGAGCAGCAGCAGGCGCTGGAGGCCATCCCGGGGCCGGAGGACCTGGCCTGACCCAGAGCCGTCACCGAAGAAGGCATCTCTACGGTAGGGCTGGGGGGTGCAGGTGACATAGACCAGCAGTGAGAGTGTGGCCTTTGAAGAACCCGGCAACACTGGTCAGGGTCGATGGGTGTCAGGAGGGGTCACTATGGGTCTCCCCTTCCCAGGGGGACTGAACCAGACGGCTCTGAGAGGAAGCCAACAACGTGCACAAGACGGGGACTGGGCCAAGACTGGAGGGCCCACCACGTCCCTCATCACTCTCTCTCCCTGAATCCCCCCCGTGCAAATCCTGGGTGCCTTCTGTCCCTTCATCCTCAGCTCTCCCAGATAAGAAACTGATAAGTGATTTCTTATTGAGAAGTCTGAAGACTAATTAATTAAGCTCAATACTTCTGGCCCCTGGAGAACGGGGTTCCTTTGCCTTTTTTCCCCTCTCCCCAGGGAATTTAACGGAGAGCGAGGCAGGGCCCGCGGGCGCACCCTAGGCTGGCGGGGGCTGCGGGTGACAGCCGGGAGATCCGGAGGGGTTCCGAGGTTTTCCAACTGCGCACCAAGACGGGCTCCACCCACTACAGTGGACTGCGGCACTCGTGGGGGGCTGGGGGGCGGTCCTCGGCTCCTGAGGCCAGGCCTCGCTCAGCCCCCACCTGTGGCTTTCAGAGTTCTGGCGTTCTAGTTGCTTCTGTGAGGACATCAGAGGCGCCCGGTTAATTCAGGTGCGCAGCATCTTCCAGGGCCCCGGCGCCAGCGCACAGAGCTGCCACCCCCACCCCGCCACGCCACCGGCCGCTCCGGGCAAAATCCACTGCCCAGCCCCCGGCCCCGCCCACGAGGCCGCTGGCTCCGGATCCTGGGGTATCCGGAGGAGACCCCGCGCCACCTGACCGTCCGCGGTCCCTTGGCCCCGAGCAAGGCCGAGGGCCGCGGCGACCCGGGTGGGGACGCGGCGGGGGAGTGGTCCCCACGGGAGGCCCCCGCACTTTCGGACTCCGCGCTGGCCCCCGCGTCGGCTGCCCCGGGCGACCCCGGCCACTGTCCGCACCCCCCGCCCCCAGTCCCCGCTCGCCGCCCTTGCGGGCCACGGACTCACCCACTCGGCGTTGCAGCTTGGGGTCTCCTGGCGTCGCCGCAGCCGGGTCCGCAGGAATCGCCCGGGACAGGCCGGGGCGGGGTCTGGCGCGCTCGTGACCGGGGGCGGGGCGGGGGCGGTGCCAAAGCGAGAGACCAGAGCCGGGGCGGGAGCGGGAGTGGGAGCCGGAGCCGCCGCCATGCGCCGGCCCGGGCCCGCCTGCTGCGCGCTGCTGCTAGTCCTGGGGCTCTGCCGGGCGCGCCCCCGGAACGCACTGCTGCTCCTCGGTGAGTGCCGACACCGCCCCCCCACGCCCACCTTCTGTGGCCCGCGGAAGTGGCCACTGGCCTCCACCCCACCCGTGGTCAATGCTGACCCTAGTGTGCCCTGCCCTTGTATCCCCACTGCCATTCCCTCTCGTCCTCCTCTCTGTGTTGCCCCCAGACTCTTCATGGGTGTCTCCCCAGAGAGGGCAGCAAGGGCTGGAGGGGTGAGCCCCAGCATCCAGCACCCCTACATTTACCTCCTGCCGCCTGTCCCCACCCTCCTCTGACCCTGCCCAGCCAGGGCTCAGGGGTCCACGGATCCCAGATCGCTCTCGGGAGGGGATTCCAGAGGAGGGGCTGGTGCTCAGGTCCCCAGAGACTGCAGACAGGGTGCCCTCCTGGCTCTGGCTCTCATCTCCCCGCTGCAATCTTTTCTGACCCCATAGGCTGTGGCTCAGCTGTCTTTTCCCTTGTCCCAAGGGCACAGCCCTCCACCACCCACCCCCAATCCCAGTCCCTCTCAGAAACCCCGGGTTCCTCCAGCTCAAGCACTGTGTTGCTCACAAGACTTCCGGTTTGGGTAATCAGGGCTCTGGCCCATGACAAGTGACGAGGCCAAACCCAAGGCCTGCGATTCTTTCCCCTTCTGAGGTCTGGCGCCCTGCCAGTTGCCCTCTTTCTGATTAATTTTGTGGTCTCTGGGCGGGGGTTCGGCTCACTGTAACATAAACAGCTCTCCTGCCAACTCCTCGCCTCCCAGAAACTCAGCAGAGAACCTGCATGGATCCTCATCTGTGTAGGAGGATTCCTACAGGAGGCTTTCAGAGCCCAGGCTACGCGGCCACTGGGCTAGGGCCTGTCTTAGCACGGACTGCCATGGATTGGCTTAAACAGAAATGTATTTCTCACAATTCTGTGGGCTGAAAATCCAGGGTCAGGGTGCCAGCTTGGTTGGGTTCCAGTGAGGGTCCGCTTTCGGCTTACAGGTGGTCACCCTCTCACTGTTTCCTCACATGACAAGCGGATGGGGGTGTCACTTCCTTTTCCTTTCTTTTTTCTTTTTTTTTTTTTTTTTTTTGTGAGACAGGGTCTCACTGTCACCCAGGATGGAGTGCAGTGGCACAATCACAGCTTACTACAGCCTCAACCTCCAGGCTCAAGTGATCCTCCTGCCTCAGCCTCCCAGGTAGCTGGGACCTCAGGTGCACTTCACCATGCCCGGCTAATTTTTGTATTTTTTGTGGAGACGAGGTCTCACTGTATTGCCCAGGCTGGTCTCGAACTCCTGGGCTCAAGCAATCTTCCTGCCTCGGCCTCCAGGGTCCTGGGATTACAGGCATGAAACACTGCACCTGGCTCTCTCTTTATTTTCTTATAAGGCCGCAGTCCTGTCAGATCAGGGTCTCATCCTTATGAATCATTTAACCTTAATTAAGGACCCTGTCTCCAGATACAGTGATGTTGGCATCAGGGCTTCAGCACATGAATTCTGGGAGGACACAGTTCAGTCCACAGCAGGCCCACGGCCAAGTGCCGAGAAACTGGGTTTGGAGAAGGGCAGCTTTCCTCCTGGCCTGTGGGTAGGGGGGTAGGGAGCACAGCCCACCCCACTCTCCCTCCGGGTCTGCCTGGCTGCCATGCGCTCACACCCCGTGGGTACTGTGGGGTGGAGGATGGGAGCCCAGCTGGAAGGTGCCCAGCCTCCTCTGCCCGTGGACCGCACTGCCTCTGAGGGAACTGGGGAAAGTGTTGGTCCTGGGGGCTCCCACCAGCCTCTCCTGTGGTGCCCCCAGTGTCCTCTACTCCAGAGCAGGGGAAGAAGCTTGGTGTGGTTGTGGGAGTTCAGCGGCCCGTCCCTGTTTCCCGCTGCCCAGTGTGTGGCCTTAGGCACTGCACCTCACCTTTCTGGGCCTCAGCTGCTTTGTGGAGAGTAAAAGCGTCGAAACAGACAACCTGCAAGGTCACTGGGCCTTTGAGATGGCATCAGTGAGAAGCAGCGGTGGGACGCACACACATAGATCTTTAGACGTGCCCTGGGTGAGGCTCCACACAGTTTCTGCAGAGCCCAGAATTGCCCAGCAGTTCGGTGGCCATGCATGGCTGTGGCTATGCATTCAGCCACTGTCTGCCTAAATACCTAGCCAGCTAACATGCCCACCCAGGTGGCATGCCTACTGGGGTATCATCAAGCTTGCTGGGATATCATGCCTACATGAGTATCTTGCCTACTCGGGTACCATGCCTGCCTGCTAACATACCTACGCAGGTACCAGGCCTGCCTGGGTACCATGCCCATCTGCTTATACCCCCTAGCTATCAGTTCAGCCTGTGTACCGTGCCCACCTGCCAACATACCCACTGGGTATCATGCCTGCTTAGGATATCATCAAGCTTATTGTGGTATGATGCCCACTTAAATACCATGCCTGCCTGCTAACATACCACCCAGGCATCATCCCTGCTGGGTACCAGTCCACCTGCTAACATACTCACGGGGTATCAGGCCTGCCTGGGTACCATGCCTACCTGCTTATACCTACCATCTATCAGTCCAGAGTACATACCACGCTCACCTGCTAACATACCCACTGCTGGGTGGCCATCAGGCCTGCTGGGTACCAGTCCACCTGCTAACATACCCACTGGGTATCAAGCTGCTGGGTACCAGTCCGCCTGCTAACATACTCACGGGGTGTATCAGGCCTGCCTGGTACCATGCCCACCTGCTTGCCTACCATCTATCAGTCCCAGACTACATACCACGCTCACCTGCCCCAGCATACCCACTGGGTATCAGGCCTGCTGGGTACCATGCCCACCTGCTAACATACCCACACCAGGTTTCATGCCTACTGGCCACCATGCCTGCTGCTCACCTGCTAACATACCCACTGGGTATCAGGCCTGCTGGGTACCATGCCCACCTGCTAACATACCCACCAGGTTTCATGCCTACTGGCCACCATGCCTGCTTGCTGATATACCCACCAGGTATTGTGCCCACTAGGTACCAGTGGGTATGGGGTCTTCTGGGTACGTGCCTGCCTGCTAACATACCCACCAAGTATCAGACCTGCTAACATGCCCTCTGATATCATGCTTGCCTGATGTACCCACGCGGGTGTCATGCCTCCTAGGTAATGAAGTGCTCTGTCAGAATAGCGTTTCGCGATGAGTGTTCACGCTGAGCCAGTACCATGCCCACCTGGGTATCTTGCCTCCTGGCATCACAGCCCCAGCCTCCCTCACTCCCAGTGCTGTTTCTCATGACCGCAGCCCACCATGTGCTCTCTGTCTCCCACCTTACACAGCGGATGACGGAGGCTTTGAGAGTGGTGCGTACAACAACAGCGCCATCGCCACCCCGCACCTGGACGCCTTGGCCCGCCGCAGTCTCCTCTTCCGCAACGCCTTCACCTCGGTCAGCAGCTGCTCTCCCAGCCGCGCCAGCCTCCTCACTGGCCTGCCCCAGGTGAGGTGCAAGGGCAGGAGGAGAGGATGGGCAGGGAGTACACAGGCTGCGTCCGGGGCCCAGGCCTCTGCCACGTCTCCCATCCCCGGGCTCCCTGGGGGTGTTGCCCGCTTTCCCTCCCACCTCCAGGAGGAGGCAAGAACAGCCTACGGCCGTGAGTGCAGACTAGGGGCTCCAACTGACCTACCAGCCCTGGCTCCACCGCTGTGTGTGGCCTTGAGCAAGTAACCTACCTCCCTGTGCCTCAGTTTCCCCATCTGTAAGATGGTGGGTATAATGAGATGCCCTTCTAGTTATGGGGATTGGCGGGGCTCATGCTTCCTGTGTAAACAGCGTGAGGCCTGTGGACTGAGTCAGCGTGACCCGCCATCGCCACAGTGTCCCAGGAACGCCATGGTGCACGGAGTGGCTGCCACTGGGCACACACGCTCCTGTTTTATTGTGGTAAAATGCACAAACATCGATGTTCCCATCTTAGCCATTTTTCAGCACACAGTTCCGGGGCATGAAGTGCATTCACGTTGTTGTGCAGCCATCACCACCGTCCACTTCCAGAACTTTTCCATGTTCCCAGACAGAAGCTGTGTCCCATGTTCCCAGACAGAAGCTGTGTCCTATGAAACACCAGCTCCACGTTCTCCCTCCCTATCCCCTGTCTCTATGACTCTGACTGTTCCAGGGGCCACATAAGAGTGGAATCACACAGGACTAGTCTTTTTTTTTTTTTTTTTTTGAGTTAGAGTCTCACTCTGTCACCCAGGCTGGAGTGTAGCAGTGCGATCTCGGCTCACTGCAGCCTCTGCCTCCCAGGTTCCAGCAATTCTCCTGCCTCAGTCTCCCAAGTAGCTGGGATTACAGGTGCACACCACCACACCTGACTAATTTTTGTATTTTTAGTAGAGATGGGATTTCACCATGTTGGTCAGGCTGGTTTTGAACTCCTGACCTCAAATGATCTGCCTGCCTCGACCTCCCAAAGTGCTGGGATTACAGGTGTGAGCCTCCGCGCCTGGCCCCCCTTTTGTGTCCTTACTTCACTCAGCACAATGTCCTCAGGGTTAACCACGCTGTAGCACGAGTCAGAACTTCCCTCCTCTTTAGGGCTGAATCATATTCCAGTGGATGGATGGACCCCACATTTTGCTTCTCCATTTATCCATCAGTGGGCACTTGAGTTGCTGCTACCCTTTGGCTGTTGTGAATAAAGCTGCTGTGAACACGGGTGTTTGAGGACACTTATTGTTTTTTTGTTTGTTTGTTTGTCTGTTTGTTTTTTGAGATGGAGTCTCACTCTGTTGCCCAGGCTGGAGTGCACTGGTGCCATCTCAGCTCACTGCAACCTCCACCTCCCAGGTTCAAGCCATTCTCCTGCCTCAGCCTCCTGAGTAGCTGGGACTACAGGCGCCCACCACCAC